TCACTTCTTTCAGGACTTTTGTCCATCCTGGTGTTTTTGTGATAGATGTTATTAGAGTCGTAAAAGTGAAAGTGTAGTTCTTATAAAAAAAGGCATGCTTCAAGAGTTTCATCAGAAAAGAGAGGGAGACATCGTAGCACAAAGATGAAAGCTGTCAGTAGCAAAGCAAAGCAAAGCATGCTGCTTATATACCGCTCCATAGCACTTCAAGCACCATCTGGGCGGTTTAAAAGTTAATTATGCAGGCTACACATTGCTCCACACCCCCCCCCCCAGCTGGGTACTCATTTTACCGACCTCGGCAGGATAGAAGGCTGAGTCACCTTGAGCCGGCTACCTGGGATTGAACCCCGGGTCGTGAGCAGTTTTAGGTGTAGTACAGCAGTTTAACCACAGTGCCACGAGGCTCTACAGTAGTGCTACTATTGCCCTTCTCTTCCCTCAGAGAACAGTTTTTATAGCTCCCAACATGGCGGCTCACAAATACAGCCAGCAAAGACCCATGGCCAGTGGATTTTTTTTCGCCCCCAAGGCAGATTTTCCAACTCCACGAGGCCGATTGTCGGCTCACTCTCAGATGGAGCCCTGGACACAATGACCTACTCCACGAGACCTCCTGACATCCCCAAAATTTCACAGGCATCCTTCTGCAACTGCAAAGAACTCGGCGGCTTTCTGATGCTCTCCAGGCTCTCCTTGGCTATCCTCTCCCTCCTTGCTGGTCTCCAACAGTCTCCAGCGGTGGCCCCCTCGATCTACATGTCCTCCTTCCGCTGGTCGGCCAGATTCCAAAACCTACATTCCGAGCTTAGCGTCGGTCTTTGTTCTCGCACACACGCACTCACCCCACCGCTTGTTCCACAGCTTAAGCCCACAACGTCAGCCTCCAAAACAGCCTTTTTTCGCCAGGACAACCCAGCACAGCACAACAGCATTGGATCAGGTAAGAGACCCAACAGGCAACGTAAAGAAGAAGAGGACAGAACAGAGAGGAAACAAAATAAAAATAAAAAGAAACAAACTGGTATGGTGGGGGAAAACGCTATCCACCCGTCACCAGCGCCATCTTGAGGGCAGATAATAGAAGCATTTATTATCTAGATGGAGTCTATAATCATGTTTTGTTAAGATCAAGTCCAGGGAAATCCATTTCTTGCTCTCATTAAAAAAGCATAGCGTGCATCCTGAATTTATATTTTTCAGATACTTTTTTTTTTTTTAAATAATATTTGCACTACAACTCTCAGAATTCACCAGGAATTTCCCCAGCCAGACACATCCTGAATTTATATTTTTCAGCTACTTTTTTAAAAAAATAAATTTTGCACTACAACTCTTAGAATTCACCAGAAATTTCCCCAGCCAGAATTCTGGCAGCTGTAAACAAAACCCCAAATCCACAGAGGAGTTACACCTGTGACCCTTTGCTAAATCCCAAAGGAGTTGCAAGGAATAAGGGGACTGGTAGTCTCTTCTCATTAGGCACTGTACAGGGTGTCTTAAAAACTAGCAGTCCCCTAATTCCATGCAGCTCCCATGGGGCTTTGCCATCTCCATCCATCCCCCCCAGAATGTAGCCAAGTAACTGTTCCTCTGAAGCAAAACAGATGAATCTCAGAGATTATTGAAGAAATAAGATACAAGACAGAGGGTTATATTTGATGCCCAACTTAAAAGTAAAGGTTACCGCCGATATACACAGGAAGATTAAAACATACATACACCACTGGCAGGATAGCTGAGGGAGATGAATTCAGAGGTTTGATTCACCACTATGCTCCCTAGGACAACAGCCAGCCTGTGTAACCTTGTGCATGCTGTACAGTAGTTTGATTCACCACTGTGCTCCCTAGGACAAGAGCCAGCCTGTGTAACCTTGTGCATGCTGTACAGTCCCAAGGCACCCCTAGAACAAGGGAACGGGAAAGCGTTTCTGGGCACTCTATACTCAGAAGAGTTTCAAAATATGGAAAAGGCCACCCTAAGATAGGATTGATTTGACAGCCCTTAATAATTGTTATTTATTATTATGACTAAACCACCTATCTGATCTTTGATTAAGTAAAGTACCCATTCAACCAAAGGAATATTGGATGAACTTCATACATTGTCCAAGAAACAGAATATGAAGCAGAGAAACACGTTTCACAGGAAGCAAGTCAGTGAATCTCTCCAAACCAATTCATCATCCACCACAGCCTTGTCAGTGGGCAGCAGGAGACGAACTGGACACAGAACGGAGAAGAGGATGGACTCCTGCCATATGAGACTTCTTTTCCGATTCACACCACAACCTGCTTGCTATTTTTTTCAATAATATATTGTCATTGTAAGTATATACTGTACATAGTATACACATAGAATGAAATTCACACTGACACCCAGAGACCAGACCCACATGCAAGCACATAAAATATCCTCAACTCCTCACCCACTAAAAATCCCCCACTAGATATCTGCACCGCAGGCTAAGTAACGCTGTCCAACTGTTCACTGCTGGTGGTCTCTAAGTTCATAATTAAGTGCAATTATAGCTCTGGGATA